GCTGCTGCTGCTGCTGCTGCTGCTGCTGCTGCTGCTGCTGCTGCTGCTGCTGCTGCTGCTGCTGCTGCTGCTGCTGCTGCTGCTCAGTGCCTCCAAATCCTCAGCATGCGGTCTTTGCCCCCCGAAGCTGCTGCGCCTCCAGCGGGCGCCCAGTCGAGGGCGTAGACTTCGTCGGCGTGGCCGGGGAGGTCTTCTTTGAGTTGCTGCTGCTCCGCGTCCCACACTTTCAAAGTGCTGTCGCCGCTGCCTGCAAACCCTAAACCCTAAACCCTAAACCCTAAACCCTAAACCCTAAACCCTTGCCGGCCGCAGCCTCGCCGCGCGGCGGTCGCACTCCCGCGCTGCCGAGAGGGCGCCGCAACGCCGACGCAGCAACAGCAGCAGCAGCAGCAGCAGCACAAGCAGCAGCAGCAGCAGCAGCAGCAGCAGCAGCAGCAGCAACGGACCTGACAGCAGCAAACGGCTGTCTGCGGCCCAGGCCAGCTGGTAGACAGGCCCCACGTGGCCCCTCAAAGTGGCCATGTACTGGCCAGTGGTCCCGTTCCACAGCCTGCAACAAACCCTAAACCCTAAACCCTAAACCCTAAACCCTAAACCCTAAACCCTAAGCCCTAGGTCCTTGGTCTGTCGACTGGGAAAATGCAAATAAACAAATGGACTGACATGAAACCAAATCAGCTGAAACGAGTTAAATTCGAAATAAATAAAATAATAAAATAATGAAACAAATAAAATTAATTGGATAAATTAAATAACAATAAACAAAACAGATAAAATAAAATAAATAATATGCCATTTTAATAAAATATAATTAAAATTAAAAACAAAATAAAAATTAATTAAACCCGCCTGATGGACTTGTCGAAAGAGCCCGAGGCGATCATGAGGCCGTTGGGGGAGAAGCACACCTGCGCAGACATCTCAAACCCTAAACCCTAAACCCTAAACCCTAAACCCCAAACCCTAAACCCTAAACCGCAATCCCAGAAACCCAAGCGCTACGCTCTGCCCTCGATGGCTCGATTTCGTGTAGGGCAAACCGAATCCCTTCGCCGCCACGCTTCCCATAAACCCTAAACCCTAAACCCTAAACCCTAAACCCTAAACCCTAAACCCTACGCAGTTGATGAGCTTCTGATGCCCCGTCATCCGCCCCACTTCCTCAAAAGACCCGTTGGGCTTTAGCCTGCGGAGGATAAGAGTTGAGTCATCTGAGCCGGAGAGCAGGGCCTCCTCGCCGCACTGCGCAAACCACAAATTAGGGTTTAGGGTTTAGGGTTTAGGGTTTAGACTCTCCAATTTGCGCGCGGGCGGCAAAGACAGAAGAAACAGGCACTGCCAGAAGCAACAGCGAAGCAAACAGAGAAAAGGGGATAATCAGCAGCAAGAGCAGCAGCAGCAACAGCAGCAGCAGCAGAAGCAAGAGCAGCAGCAGCAGCAGCAACAGCAGACCTCTTTAATAAATGTATTAAAGTTCTTTTCCGCAGCGTCCTTCATTTCTGAGAAATAAAGCCCGCAGCACGATCTAGGGTTTAGGGTTTAGGGTTTAGGGTTTGGCAGGCAGGAGGCCCAGCAGACCCAGCCTGCTGAGCCCAAGGGCCCTACCAGCTAACCATCTGGCTAGCCACCTAGTTAGCTAGCTAGCTAGCTAGCCAGCTAGCTAGCTGGCTACCTAGCTAGCTAGCCAGCTAGCTAGCTAGCTAGCTGGATAGCTAGCTAGCTAGCCAGCTGAGTGCTCTGGGGGCCTCTCTTGCTTCATCGGCTCTCCCCCGCTGCGTGCCCGCGAATTAGCTGCTCAAGCTAGACCCTAAACCCTAAACCCTAAACCCTAAACCCTAAACCCTAAAAGGGGGCTTACCTGCGAAGGAAGTAAAAGCCTGCTGCTGCCCCCGGTTGTCGAAGGGGCCCCGGCGCAGCACCGCATCGGAGTTCAGGGCCAGAGTGTTCACCCAGTGTGCATGCCCTGCAGCAGCAGCAGCAGCAGCAGCAGCAGCAGCAGCAGCAGCAGCACAGTAGCAGCAACAGCAGGAATGATAGCGACACGGACAGTAGCTGCTGCAATAGCAGCAACAGATGCAGCAGCTTTTAGAGCAGCAGCAGAAGCCGGGACACACCGGCAGCAGCAGCAGCAGCGACCGGGACACAATAGCAGCAGCAGCAGCAGCAGCAGCTTGAGCAATAGCAGCAACGGCAACAGCAGCAGCAAGAACAGTAGCAGCCACAGATGCAGCAGCAGCAGCAAAACCAACAGCAGCAGCCGAGGCAGCAGCAGCAACGGCATCAACGCAGCAGCAACAACCTCGCGCCCGCCAGAAGGTCAGCAGCAGCAGCAGCAGCAGCAGCAGCAGCAGCAGCAGCAGCAAGAGCAGCAGCAGCACCTTTAAGGTCCTTGACAAGGGCCCCCGTCAGAGGGTTAAAAACCTTCACTGTTGTGTCTCTTGAGGAGCTGAATAAATAGCCTGAACGAAAGGGTTTGCAATTAGGGTTTGCAGCAAGGGTTTGCAGCTAGGGTTTAGGGTTTAGGGTTTAGGGTTTCCAATAGGGTTTGCAATCACGGCCTCCACATAGTGCTGCTGCTTTGGCAACTGCGCTGAGCCTTTGGGGTTTATAATTTGAGCCTGTGCTCATGATTAGGGTTTAGGGTTAGGGTTTAGGGTTTAGGGTTTAGGGTTTAGGGTTTGGGCCCAGCGCTAGGGCAAACGGGCCATAGGCAGCTACTGCTGCTTCTCTACTCTATTACAGGGGTTTAGGGTTTAGGGTTTAGGGCTCTTGACTCTATTACAGTGGTTTAGGGTTTAGGGTTTAGGGTTTAATCGTGGGTAACTCTGCAGCTTCAAGGCGCGTGGGCTGAGGGAAACGGCGAAGGGTTTCCAACTACGGCCTAGGGCTTAGGGTTTAGGGTTTAGGGTTTAGGGTTTAGGGTTTAGGGGCACCTTGGGGGCCGCCAGACCACTTTACTTGAGTAACAGGCTGAGTATGAAAACTCAAAACCCTCAGCGCTTGCTGCTGCCCCGTTCGCCAGATCCGCACAGTGCAGTCCTGCAGCCCCAAACCCTAAACCCTAAACCCTAAACCCTAAACCCTAAACCATCGAATGTAAACCCTACCCTTCGCTGATAACCTGAGTTGGGAGCTCGAACCCTTGAGCCGGAAGACTCTGGATTTCTACTGAAATGCGCAGATGCAGCAGCAGCAGCAGCAAGAGCAGCAGCAGCAGCAGTGAGGGCAGCAGCAGCAGCAGCAGCAGCAGCAGCAGCAGCAGCAGCAAGAGCATCCTACCTTGCTGCCGCTCGCCAAGAGGAGGCTCGGCAGCGCAAACCCGAGGCGTTTTCTCCAGGCAGCAGAAATGCGTTGGCTCGAGCCCTTTGCTGCTGCTGCTGCTGCTGCTGCTGCTGCTGCTGCTGCTGGCTGCGCCTTCGTGCTGCTGCTGCTGCTGTTGCTCTTGCGCTTCTGGCTTTTCGCGGCGGCGGCGGCTTCGTTGGCCTGCGCCGCCTTCTCCGCTGCTGCTGCTGCTGCTGCTGCTGCTGCTGCTGCTGCTGCTGCTGCGTCTGCCTCCGCTTCTGCTGCTGCTGCTGCTGCATCTTCAGCAGCAACTAAGTGCAGCGGCTGCCACACCAAACTTGTCACTGGCTGCTTGTGGCCCTTCAGGGGGGCCCCCGCGAGGGCCCCCCCGTCAGGGTCCCAGATGCAGACTGTGCCGTCCTGCGCAGCAGCCCAAACCCTAAACCCTAAACCCTAAACCCTAAACCCTAAACCCTAAACCCTAAACCCCAGACTCTAAACCCCAGATGCACAGTCCTCTTGCTGGCAAGCGGGAGGCTCTTCTGCGCCAAAGACGGCGCAGTGCCGCAGCTGCGCCGGCCACCCCTTAACAACTAGGGTTTAGGGTTTAGGGTTTAGGGTTTAGGGTTTAGGGTTTGACAAACCATTCCGGCAGAAGCAAGCAGCTGGCCGTGAGGAGCCCAAGAGACACAAAGCACCCAATTGCTGTGGGCTCTGAGGGTTTTCAGGGGCGTCTCCGTGTTGAGGTCCCACAGCCGAACCTAAACCCCAAACCCTAAACCCTAAACCCTAAACCCTAAACCCTAAACCCTAGAGGCCCGGAAAAACCCTCAACTCTAAACCCTTCGGCTTAGCAGCGCTTCCGCTTCTCTTGGCGGGTCGCTTGCGGCGGCAGAGCAACCTGCTTCCTAAACCCGAAACCCCAAACCCTAAACCCCAAACCCTAAACCCTAAACCCTAAACCCTAAACCCTAGGGTCACCGTGGTATCCCCTCCTGCTGTTGCCAGTCTGCTGCCTTCAGGGCTGAACGCCGTCGCCAATATTGCTTCCTCATGGCCTGCAAAGCGCCAAACCCTAAACCCTAACCGCTAAACCCTAAACCCTAAACCCTAAACCCTAAACCCTAGACCGTAATACAAGAAGCAAGATATGCGCCTCTGCAGAATTAGCTCGCAGGGCCTACCTGTGCGGGATGCTCTGTAGGGTTTAGGGTTAAGGGTTTAGGGTTTAGGGATGGGCTCTAGGGTTTGTTCCCTGGGGTTTAGGGTTTAGGGTTTCTGCTGCAGACCCTGGCCTTGGCGCGTTTTGGCCAGGGTTTAGGGTTTAGGGTTTAGAGGGAGTGGGGTTTGGCCTGCGAAGGCCCGAGCCCGCTGGCCGCGGCGCCCCAGACATAAAAAGCACCTAGGGTTTAGGGTTTAGGGTTTAGGGTTTAGGGTTTGCCTGGGAGGGCTGAGGAGCAGCGCGTGACGGGAGAAACCCTAAAAGACGCGAGAGGTCTAAAATTGATTTTGAAAATTTGTTCTGCTCCTTTGGCTCCGGAAGCAGCAAAAGCAGCTCCTAGGGTTTCCTTTATTTCCGTGCTGCTGCTGCTGCTGCTGCTGCTGCTGCTGCTGCTGCTGCTGCTGCTGCTGCTGCTGAGGGACAGCGAGAAGCGCCGCCCCTCCAGCGCAGCCAAAGCCTCTTCATCATTTGCTGCTGCTTCCCGTAGCACCTGCAG